ATGGTGTTTCAAGTTTTTTGGGCTGCTCATTTCTTGATGTTGGTCAGAGCTGACTTAACCACTAATGGTTGCCATTGCTTTAATTATGTCTTTGTAAAAACATCTTTCAACATATTAAGTGTGTTAAAAAACAGGTTTGGGGACAATTTAAAATGTTCTTTCTGATGGAATTAAAAGTATTGAAAGTAGTTTTGAACATAAAGGACTTTGGAAAAGTTAAACAGAAGAAAACATCTGCTGCCTGAAACACATCAGGTTAAGGATTGGTTATAGACCTGTGAGTTAGTTCACAAGGGTCTCTAGGACTAATCTTATCCAATGAGGAGCAATACATGTTGAATATCAGGGACATGGAGGAATAAACCTGGGATGCCAGCCTGCTAAAACTGCATTTCACAGGAGAAAGGTGAGGCTGTCGGCTTCAGTAACCATTATATAAAATCACTACGAGTCAGAATGACAGATGGCAGTGAGTTTTTTTGTTTTTGTTTACTGAGTCAGTCAGGGGTTCTGCTGGTACAATGGCTAAAGTTCTTAGTGCTAACGGAAAGGCTGATGGTTTGAGCTCACCAGCCAATCCACAAGAGAACTATGTGGCATCTGCTTCCATAAAAACTGTTGCCATTTTTGTCAAGTGTCAAGTCAGTTCCAATTTATAGAGCCTTTGTAAGAGATTTCTGAGGATTGGCTGGTGAATGTGAACTGCCGACCTTGTGATTAACAGTCCTGTGCTTATCCTACAGTGCCACACCAGGACTCCTTCTATAAACATTACAGTCTTGAAAACTCTGCGGAGCAGTTCTATTCTGTCCTACAAAGTTGTTAAGAGTAGAAATCGATTCGACCATAGTGATTTGGTATTGGTTTGGTTAGTGAGGCGGTTTCTATTTATGAAATTGTTCCTATGGGAAAATATAATCTGAAGTTTAGATAAATGATTGTAAACGTACTTTAGGAATACATCCCCTTTCAGACAGGATTTAGAGTTTCATGAAGCAAATGGAGCTCATTAAATTTTATCTTCTTCCAACTTGCACAGAAAATCAAAAACCCTCAATCCCCATATTTCACAAATAAATGCTGCTGTTGACAAAAATCTAAGTATATCTTCCAAATAGGAAAAATATTTCCATCTGACTGATGATTTACAGTTGAGTCAGAGAAGCCTTTTTTCTCTGTACTTGTCTTTAATAAACGTAAATTTTCAGCCAACATTCAATTAGTTATATAATTGCCTAGAGTTTTCCAAAGCAAAAAGCTGAGATTATTTCCTTGTGTGGTCCCAAGCTGGGTCATTCCTGTGCTACATTTGCCCCTCCAGAATTAAATCAGGATAAAAAGAAAACTATCAACTTTGTTTCTGTTATTAAGACAGCATATATGTATGTGCATGTATGTGTGTGTGCATGTATGAAAGGAAGTAGTGTTGGTGCATATATTGAGTTGGTTCTGACTCACAGCAACCCTGCATAGGGTTTCCGAGGCTGGCTGTAAATCGTGACGGGAGCAGAAAGCCTCATGTTTCTCCTATGAACTGACTGGCTGATTTGAACTGCTGGCCTTGATGTTACAGGCCCAATTCATAACCCACTATGCTACCAGGGCTCCTTATGGGAAGGAGGTAAGAACTGACTAACCTGAAAAAATTAATTATCTATGTTGTTGTTATTGTAAAGTACTGTCGAGTTGGTCCCGACCCATAGTGACCCTCTATAGAGTTTCTGAGGAGCAGCTGTTGACTTGAATGGCCGACCTTGCAGTTTAAATGGCTTTGCAGTCTGGCGCATTAACCCACAGCTATAGGATGTGTTTTTAAAAAAATGCATTGCTGTTGTTGTGAAGTTCCATCAAGTTGGTTCTGACTCATAGCAACTCTTTACGGGGTTTTCGAGGCACCGCAGGTGAGTTTGAACCACTGACCTCGTGGTTAAAACCAACCTTGTGGTCCAGTGCTTTATCCTACAATGCCACACTAGGACTTCATATTGTGCATTAACCTGAAGTAAAACTTACTTTGAAAGACAAATCTAATCGGAATTGAGGCTGTTAGAATACACACACACACACATACATATATCGATAAATCGATCCCGAATCACAATGACTCTGTATAGTGTTCCCAGTGAGCAGTTGGTGAGTTTGAACTGCCAACCTTGCTATTCAAACAAACCTTGCAGTCCAGAACATTATCCTGCAGAGCCACACCAGGACTCTCTCTCTCTAAATCTGTTTTCCTTTTATTTTCAGGAGAGAATGAGTTCTTAATGCTTATATCTCATACTTTTTTTTTTTTTTTTATTAAGAATTTTGCAGTTTTGTTACAATTACATGATGGCAAGCCTAGTATTGCTAGTAAGCTTTCATTTCATATAAAATGCAATGTCAAGACCTAAACCCACTCCAATCAAGCTGATTCCATCTCATAGCGAGCCCATAGGACAGTAGAACTTTTGATAGAGCTTTCTAAGGCCGTCACTCTTTATAGAAGCAGACGGTCTCATCTTTCATCTTTCTCTCAAGGAGTAGCTGGTGGGTTTGAACCACTGACCATTTTGATTAGCAGCCCAAACTTAATCTACTGTGTCATTAGGGTTCCTTACTTCATACATGCATGGGTTTATTTATGCAACATGTTGAATTAAACATGACTCTGAGATTAGTGAATGGCTGCAGACAGGCTCTCTCAGAAATGCACTTGTCTTAGCTTCATTGTTATTGTTGTTAAATTCCCTGGAGTCAGTTCTGACTCATAGTGACCCTATGTAGGGTTTCCTAGGACCTACTGGTGAGTTTGAATCGCTGACCTTGCAGTTCAAACAGACCTTGCAGTCCAGCGCATTATCCTGCAGCGCCACACCAGGACTCCTTAAGTGCTGGTCAGTTGGTTTCTGAGGCTGTACATCTTTATGGGAGCAGAAAGCCTCTTTCTCCCACAGAGCGGCTGATGGGTTTGAACTGTCGACCTTGTGGTTCACAGTCCATTGCTTATCCTACAGTGCCACACCAGAACTCCTTCATAAAGATTATAGCCTTGGAAACAATGTGGGGCAATTGTATCCTGTCTTCAACCTTGTTGTTAAGTACCGTGGAGTCGGTTCCGATTCATAGTGACCCTGCACAGGGTATACGAGGCTATAAATCTTTATGGGAGCAGAACGTCTCATCTTTCTCCCATGGAACCGCTGGCAGTTTCGAACTGCCGACTTTGAGGACAGCAGCCCCGATTCGTAACCACTACTGGGTCTTTATAAGTCAGAAGAGACTGAAAAGCACTGGGTTTTGGTTGCGTTCAAATATTAAGGGTTTCCAGATTTGGCCACCAGAGGGAGTAAAAGCAAAGAAATCTTTTCAACCACCTTTCAGATGACCTTGCCCTGTGAGATGCTAATAGAGCCCAGAAATCAAATGCTTTCTGCATAAGAATTCCTCATAAAGTGAGTATCATGTATAGGGATTTGAAACACTCACCCATGCATAGTTTTCCAAATCTTGATGCATCATAATATCTCCCACATTACTATTGAAGCTATTTACAAAAAGGAGTGTGTTGTATCATGACCTCTTTAGCATGTCATTGCATTAAACCATGAATTAATCTTTATTAGTTATCACAATGTGTCTGAACATGCTTAGTGAGAATCTGAGGATTCTCACTAAATAATAACTGGTTTTTAGATCATTGTCTGCATATCGAGTTATGTGGCTGTTTCACAGTTAAGCAGGAGTACACAATACATGTGGAAAGTCAGGAGATTCTGAACAAGTTATGAAAATTGCTTGTGCTATTTATCACACCTCTCACCCCACCCACAACCAAATATTTAGATTTTGTATGGTAAAAAGAGATATCTCATAATCTATTCACAATCTGATCTCTTCTCAATTGAAAACCTTTTTTTTCTACCAAAGCATGCTGGCTGTCAAGTCTGTAGTGCTAAGTAAACTGGTTTTCCAGTGGTATCATTGGTTGGCTTAGGAAAATGGTACACGGCTTTAACTTTTGATTTTTAATTGTGAAAGTGTGTTTAAAATATCATTAAAAACTACCCAGATTTATTAGATATATTTGCATTAATATGTAT